GTGAACCTTGGTGTCTAGTATCCTCTGCCTCCTCACTCTGGAACTAGACTATGAAGAGCTTTCCCAGGGCACAGTGAGGCTTCCTTTGAGAAAAGTGGTATGACTTCGAGTAGCACGTCTCATCCTTTAAGAGTCATAAAAATCGCCTGGGGGGGATCTTAATAAAAATGCAGCTTCAGGGTCGGTAGATCTGGGCCGGCCTGAGATTCTGTGTTTTTGAACAAACATCCAAAGGATGCGGCTTCTGCTGGTCCAGGGACCACACCAGGGGTTTCCTGAACAGGCCTGTATTCTTCCTGGCTTTCCTACCAGCCAGCTGTGTGACCTTAGGTGGGCTCAGAGCCTCTCTGGGCTTCAATTGTTCAACTGGATAGTATGTAGGTCAACAAATATATACTGACAGCTTACGACATGTCAGGTGGCCCTGGGTGCTTCCTGGAAAAACCGCAAGCCCAGAAGGGGCTTGCAGACTGGGGGGGGCTTAAGGTCCAACAATAATATTTAAGGATACTTTGGATTCTAAAAGTGCATGACTCATGGGCAGAAATAGGGTTATATGATCTTCCTCTCCAAAACATCTTTCCAAACACTGTGACAAAGGAGCCCCACCTACTACTGTTCTCAGAATTGGGAAATATTAAATCCAGAAGTAGCCCCAAGAGAAATTTAGCCCAAACTCTATCTTGCCATTTAACAAATTGGGGAAACTAGAGAACTAGAGAAAAAGTGTTGGATCCGAGCAAATTACTGGTTTTCCAGCTATGTTTCAAAGGTAGTGCTGTTCCACAGAAATAAAATATGAACCACAGAATTTTAAGTATGTAATTTCAAAAGTTGTGGTAGACATACTGAAAAGAGTAAAAAGAAACAGGTGATATTCATCTTGATACTACATTAACCTAATATGTCAAAAAATATTATTTTAGGGCCGGCCAGGTGGCACAGTTGGTTAAAAGCACGAGCTCTGAGCAACAGGGTCACCAGTTTGATTCCCACATGGGCCAGTGAGCTGCACCCAAGCTGAGCTGCCACTGAGTTGCCCACAGGCGGCCAGGTGGTTCAGCTGGTGAGAGCACATGCGCCTAACAGCAAGGTTGCCAGTTTGACTCCCACATGGGATGGTGGGCTGCACCCCTCCACAACTAGATTGAAAGCGGTGACTGGACTGGGAGCTGAGCTTGCACCCTCCACAACTAAGATTGAAGGACAACAACTTGACTTGGAGCTGATGGGTCATTGAAAAACTCAATGTTCCCCTTCTCCAATTCCCCAACACTGTTCCCTTCCCAAATTCCCCAATAAAATCTTTCAAAAAAATTTTTCAACATGTGATCAAGATAACAAAATTATTGAGATATTTGATATTCTTTTTTTATTGTACCAAGACTTTGAAATCCCATGTAAGTACATTTGCAGCACATCTCAATGGGCACCAGCCACATTTCAGTAGCCACATGTGGATGGATGGTGGTACCATGTTGGAAAGTGAAGATGTAAGTTGTATCATCTTATTCTAAGCCAACTGTACAAATAAACAGACCATTAGGACCAATTTTCCATTGGTCAGTAACATCATTCCCATGCCCACTGATCATTTTTTAGACACTGGACCAGAAAAATTAATCTTCCAATTGGAGGTGTAGCTTTCTGTGGCAAGTTGCATAGCATTCCATTTCTGGGAGGGACCTTAAAAGTAGCCTAAACTAACTTGATATATGACTTTACTGAGCATCAGAAGAGGCCAAATAGCTTGCTGTGGGTCCTGATGATGGCAGGCTGGCAATTGGAACCCATATTTCCACAGTTCTGTGCATAAAGTGCCAGCCATCTAGTAAGTGTCTGAGAAATCTCAACCACCTTCTTTCTCTCCTCCTCTTCCGTTTTTGCACCAAACTGGTCTGTCCCCAGAGAAGTTGTTCCATTAAAGCGAGATAGAGTGCAGAGCACATTTTGGAGGAAGCGTCGTTTCCAGCTTGCCTGGTAGGGGTCCCTCCCCAGGCAAAATTTGTTGCATAAGTGACCTAACTGATGAATGTCTGCAGCACACCTATTTCATCCAGGAAGCCACTCTGGCTTTCTCTAGAATAGTGGTGCAGAGTTGAGGCATGGAGTTGCAAAAATCACTTTTGCCATCTGACAAGTAAGGCCAGTTCTTGGGTGTTCTCCCCAAAGTGCTTTTCTACTGCCGCACAACCTCAAGAAAAACCAGTTTCAGGAGCACCACACCTAGGATCAGATGATGCAACCTGATATTAGCGTCTCATTGCATCAGTGTTTCTGACGCATGTGTCTTTTGCGCTGGCTAAAAGGTTTATAATGGGGAAGGAGAAAAAAAGGAAACTCGCTGGCTGAAACCTAAAGGTATGGTCGGTACTGTTCCTAATTGGCCACACAGGGTGTTTAGAGGATAAACACCCAACCAGCCACCGCGGCCTGACAAGCATCAGCATGCCATTTCCTGAGGGGGACTTGATGGCATAGTTAGGCAAAATTCTTTTCTGGTTGGTTCTACTTGTGTTTTATATCAAAGCATCAAGCATTAATCTCCTAAATCTTTTGTAATGCAGGTCTATTAAGAAGAGGCTTTTAAAGGGTGCTTCTACTCCCTGTCTTGACCTTTTTGAACATCTCTGAAAGGTACCAGTTGATTCCTCATTTCCAAATCTAAGAGCTCTTGGCTCCTGGGACACACAGACTTTTCACTTTGATCAAGTATCTTAGATTTGGACCTCCTGGTTTCTCTGTCTTCCTAGATATTTGTTGCCCTCTCAATCCTGCTTCTTCCTATGATTAAGGAATGAATGAATGAATGAATGAATGAATGAATGAAAACATCCTAGAACTCTACCCATCCCCCAGGAAGTTGCCTAAAGAAGGAATTTCCTTGTGCAGAATGCCTAACTAAAAAGGAAGCAGATAAATCCTCTGGTAGGAGACCAATTGCTATCGAGATCGCAGCATAGGAGGGAGATTGGAAGCTTGTCCCACTCCCTGGAGGAGCCAACAAGTTCTTCCAGTGAAAACATTCATCTTTAATGTGGCTGACCAGGCTCTCCACAAGCTAGCCCTTGCTTACTTCAGCTCCATTCCCACAGGACACTTTTCCTCCCAGGAGACATGTCTCTCCGGATCCATGGACTCTATGTGTACCATTCCCCCCAGCTGTCCTGAAATAGTCTTCATACCCCTGCTCATCTGTTTTTACGCATCCTGTTAAGTCACTCAGCTTAATTTTCCACAGGGATCTTCCCTGACCCCGGAGTAGGATGAATTAATTCCCTTGCCATGATGATACTACATAGGTGTCACTTTGCAATGCTTATGTACGGGAGGAGGAAGCTTTCCTAGACCCTCTGAAGGTCTCTAGCTGGGTCTTCAAATTATACTGACAAAGACAGATTAACAGGAGAAAAGGGTACACATTTATTTTACTACGTCTTATGTGACACAGGAGACTTCACAAGGAAATGAAGACCCAAAGAAACAGGCCTGTTTTTCTGCCGAAGAGTGGACAGTTGTGGAGGACTAGGCTTGGTTAAGGAGTAGGAAGAAAGTGTCTAAACTGAGGGAAACTTATCAAGGCCTGTTTATTAGGATTCTTCTTGGTGTCCCTTTGTCTCCGGAGATAAGGATGCTCTTTTCCTCCTGGTATGGGCAGGACACCTCTCAGCTGAGGGTTTTATGGCTTATTTCAGGGAAGATGGGCTAAGGGTGGGGTGAGGGGTTAGAGTGACCTTTCTGCTTCTCCCATTTTCTCAAAACTCCTTCAGCTTAAAATATTCCATATGCCAAGGTGCCATATTTTGGGGTAGCATATCCTGAACCTATCACTTATCACACGTGTAATTACTTGTTCACGTCTCTTTCCCTTTAGACGTCGCATTTCACTAGGACAGAAACCTTGTCCCCTAGCTTTGTATACCCAGCACCTAGTACTGTGTGTCTTGCTTGTACCAGGGGCTCAGTAAATATTTGTCAGAAGATAAAAAATTTCCATCAAAACTGGCTTTGAGTGCATCGTTGGCCTCCAAGTTAACTTCTAATTAATTCACTAATATAGCAAACCTTCATGTAACTCTGCCGTGCAACAGCACCTTGCTACATACTGGGGTCACAACCATAGGCAAAAAACAAAAACAAACCCCAAAAAAACAAACAAAAAACCCAGCATTTCTCTGCACAGGAGAAAATTATTCAAATTGTATTCATGTTTCATTCCAATCACTCAATTAGGGCAAGTCCCTTGTTGGCGGAGGCGTGAGGAAAGTAACTATTTTCCAGCGAGTGTCCTCAGGTGACCTGTCTAGACGTGCCCGAGAAAAACAATCTAACATTCTCCCAAACCCCAAAGAAATCTCTGACGCGCAGGACGCGCTGCGTAAAAGGGCAAAGGCGAGCTGCGCGGCCTTTGAAACGCGCAGGATCGGGGAGTGAAGTCTGGCGGTGTGGCGCCCGGCGCAGGCTCCAGCGGGCCGGTCTGTCCCGCGGGCGCGAGCCCGACCGCCGCGGGGTCCGCCGGCCGGCAGGGGGCGCGCGCGCCCCGGGCCCCGTGCATCCCGCCCCGCCGCGCGCTCGCTTGCAGCCCGGCAGCACATGTGTTTCTGTTTTGTGTTGTAGCATTTGTTCTGGAAGCCCGTATTTACATTTTAAGTGTATCTGGTGAGTGGGCTGGAGCCCTAGTCTGGGCCGGGGGAGAAAAAAAGCCCTCCGGTTCGTCTTTTAGTTGCTCCTCTTCCTTTTTCTCTCGGGATTCTCATCACTCCAACCAGGTAGGGGCTGAAAATCAAAATCGACAATGATCAGTTTGCGGGATCTGGGAAAGTTTTTTTTTTTCCTCTTTTTTTTAAAGGAGAAAAGGTAAAAAAAAAAAAAACCCAGAAGAAGGGGGGTTGGGGGACTGAATGAATAAAAAGGGGAAGGAAGGCGGATCCACGTGGTTTAATCGGAGACAGACAGAGATCCCATTGTTCAAAATCAATAAAAAAAAAAAAAAGCAGACAGGGCGAAAGCGCAGGGACGCTGGGGGAAAGTAGCCGCGGAGCGGAGCACTTTGTAGCTGGGATCGGAGGGATCGGCCCGGCCGCACGTTCGGGAAGGAACCCGGAGAGTTGGGCACCATTAAAGTTTTTATTTTTCGTGCCTGTGCGAGCAGGTGTTTGGGGCTGGGGACCGGCTTTATTCGCCCCCCCCTCGTCGGGGGCAGCCCACCCAGAGGGATTCGGCTAATTAGAACCTGAGGTCGGAACCCCTAGGCTGGGGCGGAATTGGGGGCTCGGGCAGGGGGGCCGGAGAGAAGTGCATTTAATTGGGCGGGCTTGGGGAGGGGGGCTCGGAGACAAAAGCAGCAGGTGGGGTGCCGAGAGGAGGGGGCTTTCACGACCGGAGGTGCCAGGAGGATCTTAGAAGTGTCCCGAAGCCTTCTCTAATTAGAACCTAGGGGATCAGTGGCTCCTTTTTCTTTCCCTTTACTTTTTTGGGGACCAGGCTGCAATTGTGATGCGACGTAGACAGACCTAACTTGAGGATGGGCCGGGGTCTCCATTTCTTTCCTTTCCCCAAATGGATTGCAGTCGGGGACCTGGGCTCCCGTGTGGGATTCCCCGGAGGAGGCGCGCCAGGGCCCGGGAGGGGCGCGATTTCCTCCCGGCTCACCCCCTCTCCGCCCACCCCGCGGCCGCCACTTTGGGGAGGGCAGGGGAGGAAGTGGAGGCCGGTGGCTCGGCTGCGCACCCCTCCCCCCGCGCAGTTTATAACCCGTCCATTGTGCGCCGCTGCCCCGTGTCTCCTCCAGCGCGACCATGCCCAGGAAGAAGGCGGCGGCGGCGGCCTGGGAGGAGCCGAGCTCGGGCAACGGCACGGCCCGCGCCGGGCCCAGGAAGCGCGGCGGCCTGGCCGGCAGGAAGCGCGAGCGGCCCGAGCGCTGCAGCAGCAGCAGCGGCGGCGGCAGCAGCGGCGACGAGGACGGCCTTGAGCTCGACGGGGCCCCCGGCGGGGGCAAGCGCGCGGCGCGGCCGGCGGCGACCAAGGCGGGCGGCGCGGCGGTGATCATCACCGAGCCCGAGCACACCAAGGAGCGCGTTGTGAGTGCGGGGCCGGGAGCGGGGAAGAGGGCCGCAGGACGCCACTGCGCGCATCCCGGCCGGGGGCGGCGGGGCCGGCGAAGGCCTCGGGCTGAATCATCGCCGCCACCGTCACACAACAAAGGGGCGCGGGTCGGAGGCGGGCGCGGGCGGCAGCACAGCCGACCCTGCGCCGCCCGCCCTCGCGGCCGTTGGGGCGCGCGAGCCCCGGGTCCCTCGGCGGGGGAGGGGCGGCCGGAGTCCGCGCCCGCCCGCGCAAGGGGGTCATGGCCCCGCCCCCGGCGCCGCTCGAGCCGCCTGCCTCCTCCTCCCCTCCCCCTCCGCCCCGGGAAGGGAGACTTTTGCAAGTTGTTTCGGGCCCAGACAGGGGATGCGCGCACGGGGCGCAAGGCCCCGTGCTCTCGGCCGTCCCCCGCCTCCTGCGACTGCTGGTCCGTCCGGACGCCGCGGGGTAGGGGGTCCCTATCGCGCTGCGGGGAGCGGCGGTTTGTGCCGGGGCTTTGAGGTTCCCGCCGCCTCGGCTCCGGCGCTCCGGGGGGGCGGGGCCTGGTGGCCGCCGCGCATGCCTCTTACTGCCCTGCGCTGTCTCGCGCCGCCGGAGAGGCGGGGGCGGCCGGCGCCGGGGCGGGGTGCGAGGGCGCATGCTCTGGAGAGCCCCCCCTCCTGGAAGTCTGGAAGCCCCCCCCCCTCCTTTGAGAGATGTTTAGGCTTTGTTCGCTGCTTGGGGGGTCCAAAGGCACGCGCCGTGCTGGGTGAGGGCTCTGTGTAGCCGCCCCTCCCAACCCCACGGGCAGGAAGCGTCTTCCGTGGTCTCAGTGGGCTTGAATTGGCTCATTAGAGTTGGAGAGTTGGGCCTTCAGATCTTAAATTGAGATAGTGACCATCTCAACTTATGTGCCTGCAAAACCCTACAGACCCAGAGATCTTCACCTGGGTCTGTGGTACTGAAAACCAATAAGTTTAGTGTCGGACAGGGGTTTAGGAGAGGGTCAAAGCTTTCACCAGATTCTCAGATAACCCCAAAAGGGTAAGCACTTCCACTTAGGGTCTAGAGCCTGACATCTTGGAGAGGTCCTTTGCTCTCCTAAAACGGTGTGTAAGGGTTAACAGCACCAGAGTGCTTCTCTCCAGAGGAGTGCTTATGTTTAAATGGTTAAAAATAATGCATTTCTACATCCACTTTATAGATGGGGAAACTGGGGCACAGAATTTAAGGGCTTAGCCCCAGATCACATGGGGCTGGATTTCTACAGGGCCCAGGTGTTTTCTTATGTCATCCTTACGCCCCTGCAGTTGTTCCTGTGAAGATGTTTGCTTGATAACTGCCCTCCCAGTGAAATGTTCAACATGTTGGATGGTGGAGGAGTGTGAAGTGAAGGGGAGCCCATGTCACTGAAATGGCTTATCCAGAGTCAGGGACGAGACCAGTGCCAGGGAAATGGCCACAGCCTTGAGACACTGGAGCACAGGAACTCTTTTCCTTTGAGTACTCATCCTCTGGGAGGCTCCAGACATTTGCTCTCCTGTGTCCGCCATGTGTTAGGGAACAGAAAAGAAAGGCAGGTGGGCTCTGCCGCCGCTGTGTTCTCTATCCAGTGTGTTGACAATTGACCTAGTAAGCAGTGAGTTTTGTTGTCAGGAAGTAAGAGATTCTTACCCAGTGCTGGGATTCACCCAAGAAGGTAGCCATGGAGAGTGTGTGTGCAAAGGGGCACCAGGCTCCCCTCCGGCTGCTTGTCTGATGGGAATGGCACGGTTCTTAGTCTTTAGTGAGAGGCATAGGCGTCCTTTGCAGTTTATTGTTTTACATCTCACATGTCTTTTAAATTCCTGAGACAGACATGCACGTATATATATTCACATCTATACACCCCCTCCCCACCCCCTTAAAAAACAAAGAGGGCCTGTTGAAGCAGTTTTCTTCGCACTGGCCAGCACACCATCCTAGGCTCAGGAGACTGAAGGTTCAACAAATGATGTTCTTTTATGCCTCACGGAAAGTGCACACCCCCAAGTTGTAAGTTTTTATTAGCATCCATTGACAGGTCCAGGGTCGAGGCCGGTCCTTTGTGGCCTCCTGCCCAGTGTCCCTGGCCCCAGGTTCCTGGACTCGAAACACAAGGTCTTTGCCTGTTAAGCAGTCCTGGGGATCCTGTCTGCTGCCACAGGCCAGCGGCAGTCCCTGGCTTGTTTCAGAAAGAGGCTGTTACTGAGAATTTTGCAAGCCTCGCCACTGTTCAGGGCTGCTGGAAGGTTTGTGTGAGAACAGCTGCCAGGAGTTTGTCTGATACGATGTTGCTTTTAGTTAACTCAGAGCTGCAGACTTTGGGCTTGTGAAAGAGGAACCCCAGATATATGTATGGTTGAGGGCAAAGCTGCCTCAAGTAAAAGATGTTTGTTTATACATCTTATTCCATACCATTTCTATAAAACATACTTAGGATTTCAGCCTTGGAAAATGCTCTCTCCAAGGACCTTGGGTTTATATGTAGTTCTGTAGGATGTGATATTATGATGTCTGCATGTTATGATGGTCTAGAGTTGATGCAGCCTGAGTTCCCCATGAACTTCATAACCCTGTAGGTAAAGCAGACAGCCTGGGCATAGTCCTGGAAGATAGGCGAGTGTCACAAGCTGTCCAGGTCGTTCTAGTTTTTTCAGTGTTGGGTTGCAGAGGTTTTGTAGACCCGGAGACAAATCTGCCCCACCCGAAAGGATCCAATAAATGCAGCTGGAAACCAAACTTGAAGTCTGTTTGCATTGAAAGCCCATTAGGGAATTTGTTGTTGCTGTGGCATTTCTCTGAACAGTTCCCTCCACCGAGAGCAGCAGTCTTCTAAATGGATGTATGTTAAAGGTTGACTTTCGGCCTCATCAACATGCTCCTTGCACTTGGGCAATAATTCAGAACTCGCTCTGGACCAGAAACCCCATTTTCTTGATTGAAGAAGCTCAGTGCATTTTTCTGCTGGGGCTGTCCATCTCATCATAGCTATAAGAGCAGGTTGTCCAGAGGGGCAAGGTGGAGTGATATTCATTCATCCTGCAGGGGAGACTGTTTGTTCATTGTCTCTGACCTTTAGACACATGCAGTACCGCAGACACTGAGTTCATCTAAAAAGAAAAAAAACAACAACAATCTCTTGGTCCTTGGTCTATCAGTGAAAGCTGGATTCCACCTGGGAGGGTCTCAGCTCTGACAGCCATCACTGGAGGGCATCTGGATGGGAGGCACCTGGCGTCTCTCCCACTTGGACAAAGAGGGGCATGGGCTGTGATTTAAGGGTTGTTAGGAGTTCCACTTATTTTGGGTTTTTCATTTCATAGAAGATAGAGGAAAGAATTAAGTTACAGAGAAATAAAGGTAAGTGGTTTACAGCAAACAATTGTATAGATAATAGCACTGAACTAGTCAGCCAACTCCATCTGATGTGTGAGGATCTAAGCTCCATGACATTAAAACCCTGATAAGATAACAAACACTTAACAGCCCTTCCTAGGAATCAGGCCACTGTCACTGGCAGTGGACGCAATTTACCAATTTAGCAAGGTTTTCTACAAGTACCTGGTGTCAGAAAGGTTGGATTTTTGTGTAAAGGCTTAGTTGGCTTGATGGGCCAGTGTCCATAAGCCCTTGGCCACTGCAGACGCTGGCATCTCCAGGTCACAGAGACCCCTACTCCTGCCCAGGGCTTGCCGCAAGCTCTGGCATTCTTACGGAGCTGCAGGTTCTGCAGTGGCCGACTGCACTGGTGAACTTGCTGTAGTGACTACATCTCAGTGTTGAGGGGTGAACAGTGCAGCACAGGGTACCCTGGAGCCCTCTGCCCGCCTGGAGGGGGACTGCCAGGCCTGAGGTGGCATCATTCCAGACCCCTTTTCCCACCATTCTGTGGCCTGGCAGCTCATGCCACAGTACCTTCGTTCCTTCCCCTGCCTGCTGCCCCCTCCATGTGGACCTGAGGAATAGTGGAGAGCAAGTCAGTGACATGGCAGAGACCCAGGGCTGCTCATTCCGTGGGGAGGTTGGCAGAACTCACTGGCTGCCATTCATTTCGTCTTCTGCAGTAGACCTTTAGAATGTTCTAGCCAGTTAAAGAAGGGGAGATAACCAGGGGAAACTAGGCTCCCATTCAAGTAATCTGAGTCTGGGTGCCGCAGGGATGGTCTACCCTCCAATTAAGGCCGTTCTCTAAATAATTTAAACACGACCAAGTCCTTCTCCGTTCCTGGCTGTTCATTTCCCCTTCGCATGCTGACTGCCAGAAGTGTCCTGTGGACAGACCAGCTTCCTCCAGCCATGGACACGTGGCCAAGCAGGCGAGCATGACAGGACCTGTACTGTGGGGTGCTGTGATGTCAGGTTTGGGCCACACAGAGATCCCGAAGAGATGGAATCATTCATCGTGAAGATGTGTTCATCTTACAAATGACACACCGTGTTGCCAAGCATCCCCGCCAGGGCAGTCACCATGTAGAGGTTAGAGTGACTGGATCTGGAGCTGTCTGGCCTTTTTATGCTTTCCAAGAACAGTCCTGTAAACAGAAAGAAACCTCTTTCCTTCTGTCCCGGGAGGAGGATGCACAGGGTGAGAACAGAGGGAGGCCACTGCTTCCCTTGCCCAGGAGGACTGAGCGATAGTTCACAAGTGAACCTTTGACTAACAATCTATTTTAAAAAGCGTGTTTGGGCATTTCAGAAATAAAGTGCTGAGATATTTAATGAGTCCCACCCAGGATTGGAGAGTGGCCTAAAAAGTGGCACATATTCTCACTGATAGCCGAGAATGTGGCCTTAATGATGGTCTGTGTGGGTCTGTGTTGTGATGATGACAAAATCCACTGGCTGGGAACCACAGCCTCCCTCCACGCAGCCCGGCCCCAGGTGGCTCTTTGTTCCAGTCACCACTGATTTCCGGCTTACAGGCCGACAGTGAGGATGAGCCCATCCAAGGCCACCAGGGTCAGATCTGCCCAGCCCGCCCATGCTGTCCGGTGTCTTCGTCCAGTGGAGAAGTTGAGCTCCGTGCTGAGATGCCTTCTCCACAGACAGGCTCCTGGCACGGTGGGCAGCACATGGAGGAACAATGGGAAAGTACTGGTGTAATTACTGTGCAGAGATGACACAGGCTCCTAAGCCTGAAGTCCGTGTGGAGTGCCACGCTGGTGGTGGGGAACCATAGACTTGGCCTCTAGGACATCTGGTTTTAATCCTCCCCGGTGAGATAGCAGCAGGCCTCTTGAAAATACCTGCAGAGGGCAGTTTGCAGAGTAGAGGATAGGAATGTCATTTGGCTTTTTTTTTTTCTTTTTCTTTTTTTTTTTTTTTTAGTTTTTAGTTTTTTGCAAAAGATATTTCAAAGGATAAAAATAAGCCCCCGGGGAATAAGCAGTGAGCAGCAGGGCAACGAGGTGGTGAGTACCTTGGGCCTCTTCCGCTGGTTAATAGTGAATTATTTTTGTTTCCTGCTCTCATTGGACAGACTTGGAAAGCTAGAAGCAGCATTGCAAGCTAATTTTTCCTCTCTCTCTCTCTCTCTCTGTAGAAACTTGAAGGGTCTAAGTGCAAAGGACAGCTATTGATTTTTGGGGCCACCAACTGGGACTTGATTGGTCGAAAAGAAGTGCCTAAACAACAAGGTATGAGAAACAATTTCTAAAAATATCAGAAGTCACTATTTATTGAGTGCTTCCTATGTATTAGATGTCCAATGTAATTCTGGTGACCATCTGCAGGGTAGGTATTCTTTTCATCTACAAAAATGTTCAGAGACGCCAAGTAACTTGCCTGAAGCCACACAGCCACTCTAGTAACGGAGCTGGATTTGAACCTGGGTCTTGTGCAAGTCTCTCACTTCCCAATTCTTTTAAAAAACCAGTTCTATTAAGATTAAACAGAAAAATAGAAATAGCAGCCTCAAATAAATATTGACACCTTTTCCCCATCTTCTTTCTCATGTCACTTATTTTCATGAAAATGAAGAGGCTGGTCCTGTGGGATGTCAAAGTGTCCTAGACATTTGTCACATGTCAGATGTCAAACTGTTAGACATTTCAGAAGAGTCCACATTTCTTTGCAAGCTGCCAGATAGTTGCAGGAGCTGGTTTGACAGAGCAAGTAACAGTCTGGAGCTGGGGGAGCAGAGAAGTCCTAAGAAGTAACTTTTTAGTCCCCAAATGCTTTTAGAAAATTGGTATCTTTCCTCCAGAGAGTACTGGCCCCTCCCAGAAAAGTGAGGCTGGCACAGTGCCACATTTTATGGCTTCTTGATTTCATTTGGAAAGATTCCCAAAGTACTTTCCAACATTGCCCAGTGAGCAAATATTTGCGCCTTGACACTCCCTGAGGCCTCAAGACGGCTGCTGGAGAGCATCTTATTCCATGAAAAGCACAGGAGTCGCAGCAGCGCTTACTCGGGGTCCAGCTGAGTTAGAAGTGGGTCTGACCCATTTCCTTCCGCTGTGTCAAATGCCCAGACTTAGGGTTTGAGTCCTGTTGGCAGCTGGTGTCACCAGGAAAACCCCACCTGGTGCACGATGACCTAAGCTGCCAGCCCTGGGCAGGTGTGGCATCTTTTCTCAAAGGTGCTCTTCACATGAGTGGCCCACTCAGTTACTCTTGGGCCCCGAGAGGGAGGTAAATTCCAGTGGGAAGCGGCCGCAGGGCCTGGGTTGCCTCCTGCGGGTGTCAGATGAGGCTCAGAAAGTAGGAAAGCTGCCTTGTGAGTTAAATATGGCTCCCACGCTCTAGTTGAAGGAATTTTGCCCTCATTGGGCTCATTGTAAGAGTGCTTTTTTGTCTTATTCATGCCCACCTTTGCTTCCCTGATTTGTCTCCCTCTGAACTTTTTATATAATTTTTAAAAAGCTTTTTAAAGTATTTTTAAGTGTCTTTCAGCCCTCCATGACATTAAGGGAAAGGAGGCAGGATTTGTTTTCCCAGTGGTGCCAGACGTGACGGGAAGGACGATTGCCCCTCCCTCCTTAACCTTTCCCAGTTTCTGGTCATCCTTGGAGTGTGCTGGTGTTCAGCAAGGGCTGGGAGAGCCCTTGGGTGCACATCGCCATGGAGCTTGTAAAATTGGCAGCACGAAGCCTTGTTCATTTACAAGATAGCACAGATCCATGCTCCCTCTCTGATTAGGACCAGGCCACGGCCACAGGAATTCATGACCGCCAGCCTGCCCAAGGGGCCCGGGGCTGCTGCCGGCCATTTAATTTGACTTGGATCACTCTGCCGGGGTTCTTCGGAAGGCCAGGAGAAAGCCTGCCTCTCCTGGTCTGATGACGTCTTGGGTGCTGGCACTGTTAGAGGTAACATGCTTTGGCAAATCAGCGTCTACCCACCCGTGAGATGGGTCTAATTAGCCAAGCTGGGTCAACTGTGGGACCTTTAACTGCAGTGTCCATGCTCTTCACAGGTGGCACATACCAATCATGCTAGCATTCATTTTGCCTTCATGCATTGGGTTTCTTTTAAAGAAGTTTAGTATAACCTGTGAAGGCTATCGTTTTTGGTTTGCCCTTTTCCCAGGAAGTTGTTGGTTTGTCTGTCCACCTTCTGGTAGTAGATGAGTGTTTTCAGGTGGAGAAGCTCGGGGCTGTCACGGTGTGACATTGTGACTTACAGTCCTGAATTCAGACTGTCCTGGGCTCCACCAGCCCCTTGTCACTAAATGAGAGGACCCAGTTGGCACCCTCTGCTGGTGGGGTGCAGGCCGGTGGGATTGACACTGAACGATTTTACTGATACTTTTCCACGGACCCAGAAAATTCATGGAGAAATCAGCCTTTCAGTCAGTTGCCATCTCTTGATCAACCTGACACAAATGACTTGGCAGTGGCTAGCATTTCATAATAGTCACCAGAGGCCTAGAAATGTGCTTATATTTCTATCCTTGAGCCCCAAATTGAAAATATTAAGCAAAAAACTGGCCATGCCCCATCCACTAATAGGACGAAGTGAGGATTTTAAAGGAGGAGGCTATTTCTTCCCTCCCATGCTCCTGCTAACATTACTGAAAGCTTAGCATGCGCCAGGCATGGTGAGTCCCCTGGATGGTCAGTGCAGTGGGCAGGCACATGAGTTCAATAGGGTAAGTGCTGTAACAGGATTCATGGGGCGCTGGGGTACAGGGAGCGACGAGTTAAAAAGGGGGATGGATGTGGCAGGAAGGGCTTCCCAGAGGAGTGGGTGCTTGACCTGAGGTTTGAAGAACAAGCAAGAGGCAGAGAGGGGCATTCTGGGGGAGTGAATCCATGGGCAAAGGCAAGTGGCCATGACCTCGCCAACACAAGGGGACCCCTGAGAAAGAGCCGACCAAATGGCGGGAGATTGGTTGTGGGGGCGGCGGTGTGAGCTGGAGCCCTCCTGCCAAAGGCCTGTAGACTCGCAGGGAGGGAGGTTCTGGGGAGCATGGGGCGCTCACTCTGCTCCAAGAGCCTTCTGGCTGCAGGACAGCTGATGGGAAGGTGAAGAGGGTAAGGGAGATGCCGGCTCCACTGCCAGCTTTCCCAGGTTGGCACCCCACCCCGACAGGGCCACAGGAGGGACAGCACCCAGCCTTTTGGCCACCTGCAGGTGGACATGCTCAGTAGCCATTGTATGTGGGTCTGAGTTCCGCGTGGGTTGGGGCCAGAGGAGGTGGGACATGATTGCCTACATGGCCACGGACTAGGTTTGCACCAGCTGGGGGTAGTTTATTAGAGGTGGCCCCGTGGGGGAACCATAGAAGAGTGGACCCTTTGTGGCTAGTGATTTTTTTGGGGGTGCTCTTCACCCACCTGTCACTGCGGCTGTTTAATTTGCATTGTTCTTTTTGCAGCTGCCTACCGCAATCTTGGTCAGAATTTGTGGGGGCCCCATAGATATGGATGCCTGTCGGGGGTCCGGGTGCGGACAGTGGTTTCGGGGTCGTGCGCTGCCCACAGCCTCCTCATCACCACAGAAGGGAAGCTGTGGAGCTGGGGTAAGTACTGAGCTCAGGCTGAGTTCTGGGGTGATGCTGGAGCCGGTCCCCCACGGGGCTGACTTGCTCCTTCTGCACCTCCCCTCTAAGTCAGTGCTCCCTTATTTGCAGTCCACATTTCCTCTTTCTGATTCCCAAGTAGTCTCATCTGTGCCCTAGAACTACATCACCTTCCTCCACTTTGCTGCCATTTTTTTGGTCTGTGCATAGCCCCCTGATTCTTTGAATGTTCTCTTTAAGCAACTTTTTCCTGAACATCCTGATTGAATCTGGATCTCTCTGATACCGAGGTGCCTTGAACTGACACTATTTTAGGCCTGCTGTCCCCCCAACAGACAGTCCCCCCTCCCTGTTCTTGTTTTGCAGCAGTGTGATGTGAGCCCTCTGTTCTTGCCATTTTAAATGCCTCCGGCTTTTATAATGGCTACATCATAACATCAGCCTCTGCGTCTCTGCAGTCCTGTGGCTGTTTCTGGGAATCGCACAGGTCTGCAGGTTTTGTAGCTCATTGCCTGTTTCGTCCGTTTCTTCTTCTATTTCCCCAGACAGTTTACTTTTTCTGAGTTTGCTTTCCCTGCTGCTGGATTTCCTCGCCTGGGTACCTGGGAGGTAGGTCCCGTCCTTGCGTTTAGCTCCCTTCCGTTTCAGTGTCCCCGGCAGAGGGCTTCCATGCATTGCTGCCCGTTTTCCTCTTGCAGATCATTAATCCAGGTACTAAGGCTCAATTTATCCCCATGCCCTCCTGATAGCTCCTGGACTCTTCCTCCAGCTGGGTGTGTTGGCATCTGTCCCTGCCCTTTGTTTCTGGTCCTTTGGCTAGCTTTTATCCACGTGACTGCATTTTTATTTCAGTCTGTTTGAATCATTTTTTTTTGCAATTTCATGAGCTGCTCTACCAGAGTCCAAATATATTAACATCTGTTGTCTTCCCTGCACTCTGCTAATTTTGTAATTCAGTTGGAAAAAAGCTAACAAGTGTGTCTGGCCCAAATTTACGCCGTGTAGTCTCTTGATGACATGCTGACATTGCCTTGATTTTCATTTGCTCCCGGTTGGCGTAGAGGTATGCCCCTCCCCCACAGCATCCCTCGCAGTGTTTCAGCACTGAATGCAGCAGTCTGGCAGAGTGTTGAACTTTAAATATCTTATTTCTGATCTCTTTACTGAATTTCACTTACGTGGTGCTTCTAAAAATGTTGCCTGTGCTGACCCTGTGGGCAGGGAGTGATTCTAAAGGTTCCAGGACAAAGCTATGTCCCCATGAGCAGACTTAGTGCTGCGGGGGTGATGTGCCAGTAGAGACGTCACGGGTCCACTGTTAGTCGCTCTTAAAGGTGAGGGGCCTTGTCCAGCGTCCAGAAACATCAGTATGGCAGCACTCACAAAGGTCTGCACCTGCCGTCCACTTAGGGGCCGAAAAACCGCGCCCAGCACTTATTCAGTGTTTAACGTGCCTTTCACATTGAACTTGGGGAGCTGGTGTCTGCCGCTCCAGAGAGCTGAAGTCAGAGTGCATGTGCAGGCATGGTTTTCCTCAGGTAATCAGAGGCCGTTCACTCCCCAAGCCCTCTCCAGGATGATGGTGCTCGTCTTAGGGGGCCTGCTCTTCGTGGTTCCATGACCTAAAGATCAAAAGTTTCTTGTTGGGGAAGGGTGCAACCCTCCTCCCCTCCCCCATTGCCCTCACTTTGGCCCTGTGAAACCTCCCCAAATCGCCCAAAGTATTCCGTAGCAAGTGTGGTTTTACTCCTAGCCAGAGGGACCTGCGAGCGGCCCATTGAGTTGTTCTGTTTTGGAAGTGCTGTGGCCGGTGTTGAAAACTAAGGAAGGTGTAGGGATATCAGGCCCCTTCTGGCCCACCCACCTCACCATGTCTGCTTTGGAGCCGAAGGGCTTTGCCTGAGTGACCGTGCATTACTGCAGGAGACTTGGCAGCCGGGTCGCCTCCTTGGGCCTCCTTGCCACCTGACCCCACAGCTGGCGCCGCTCCAGAGACAAGCTTGAGTTCAGAGTATGTCTGGCTTTTGTCCATCACTGGGGTCCATGTGGCCAAGGGTCCTGTTGAAGGGTCATCGGTAGGTGGTGGGGCTGGCACTGTTCGGTGAGCTTCATTTATAGGGCACATAAAAGGAAGAGACATGATAGGCAGAAACCAAATGGTCCACAGTAGGTGCCCAGAGCACTGAGGTAATTAATAGTTAACTTCTTGTGAGGCAGGTGTTGAACTGGTTGCTGTCTTAAAATATGCCTCGTAGTGCAGAGAAGGAGGGAATTGTCTAGCAGGTACTGTGAGAAGTGAGAACTGGGTTTCCATGAGCTTTTCTGCTCGTGTGTGATGTCCAGGCCGGACAGAGCGTTTTCTCCCATTGTTCCCCTTGGTCGTAGAGAGCTGTAGGGAGTGCTCACGGTGGGTCCCGGAAAAGAGGGTCAGAGAAGTTGACATAGGTGGCGGCCAGTGGGGACATCTCGGGGGTCAGCCCTGTGTATCTTAACCCTGGTCCCCTGACCCTATGAGGCAGGCCTCGGAAGGCTGGCCTGAGAAGCCGGAGCTTTCACCTTCTTCTCTGCCGCCGCGTTGGAGAGGGTCCTGCTCACCCTGTGAAGCTGCTCTGGCCACCGTCTCTCCTTGCCGCTTCATCTTGCTCTCGATCTGCAGGTCGAAATGAGAAGGGGCAGCTGGGACATGGCGACACCAAGAGAGTTGAAGCCCCCAGGCTCATTGAGGGTCTCAGCCACGAAGTGATCGTGTCAGCGGCTTGTGGGCGGAACCACACCCTGGCCTTGACAGGTAAGGAACGGCTGGTTTCTTCTTAATGTCAAGAGGTTAGTTGGTCCACCTTGGGTGGTGGGGTAGAGTTGCCCCTGTGACTCTTGGTCACAATCAGAAAGATGCCTCCGAGAGCAAGGGTGGGTGCTTCTGGAAGGCTGTGAGATGAGAGCCTCACCCTTAGGCGGGGGAGGCCACAAGGGGGTGGAGGCCAGAGCCGTGCGGAGGGCGTTTCTGCTGTGAAGTGGTTTTGCTCTGAGCCATCCACCCCACCACCTTTTGGAATACCGTCTCACTTGCATTCTTCCTGGCAAAGGAGCTGTTTATATTATTTTGGAGCCTTTGATTCCAAATCTGGTTCAGAACCCTCAGCGTTATTTTCCCTTTTGTGGTATCATTCTTTCCTTCCAGAAACGGGCTCTGTGTTTGCATTTGGAGAGAACAAGATGGGGCAGCTGGGCCTCGGCAACCAGACAGACGCGGTCCCGAGCCCGGCACAGGTACCTGCCCCCTCCAGGCCACGCCCCCTCCTCGGCCTGGACGGCCTTCTGTTTCTCCTCTGTGTTTGATTTTTCTGGCTTGAGATTGTGTGTTTCTCTTGATGCCTTATTTTTAAAAAAACCAAAAAAAAAAACAAAACAGGATCTAGATGTTTTGAGTGGAATTCACAAGCTATAGTCTTTAAAACAGGTTTAATAAATGTTCACAGTTGAAAAAATATCCTGAAAACAGTTTTTCTTCCTGAATTAAATAATGTTACAGAGGCTTTGCTTTAAGCCCATTCTAGCCTAAAGAAAGTGAGAAATGTTATATGGATGTGATCTGTCTTTATCTGCAAATATTGTGAGATTTGACCCTGTATGAAGTTGACTGCCAGGTGTTAAGAACACAAATAGGAGTTAGGTGGTCTCTTAGTCCTAAGAAATTTCGGATTAAGTTTGAGGGGTGAGATTTATAACCATAAAAATAAACTAATACAATAAGGCAGCAGAATGCTAGTAAGTGTCTGATGAATGCTTCAGTGATGGAGGGACTCAGATTTCTTGGTCTTAAAGAGAGACAGTGGCCAAGTTGATCTGTGGTTGAAGGATTTTTGAAGTTTTCCCATCTTCTCAGCCAGTTAATCGACAGCGGAATATAAGGTTTTTAGAGAACCAAGGACCAGTGGACAGAGCCGGACTCTCCACCCCACCTCCAGTTCCACCGCTCACTTTCCGCAGTGCTGTTGCTTTGTACCCTTGGCTTGGAGGGTAGGGGGCTTTCCAGATGGAGTACTATGCAATAAATAGCAAGTTTTCTAAGTATCGTATTTTGCCGTGTATAATGCGCACCCACATTTTTGGCCCAAACTTTAGGGGGGAAAAATCTTTAATTTTTTAAATTCAAGTTTTTATTACATTTAGGTACTTGTTTTTTTGTATTATAAAAGAATTTGAGCATTGATTTCTGAACATGGTACAAGAAATTGTACTGGTAACAAATTTACGATATTTTCGCATCATAGAAGGCCAAGAACTCTTGGACGTGCAAGTTTGTCATAAAGTTCAACAAAACCGATTATCGTATTCCAGGGCATTGTTTTGCATACGGATATCATTATTGTTTTCTAGAGTTAACACTTTTAACCCATGAGCATAAATAAAAGAAATAGAAACATTTATATAGATATGGAATTAGTACTACCCATGTATAACGCACATCCTTATTTTTCCCTCACAAATTTGGTCAAAGAAAGTGTGCATTATACACGGCAAAATATGGTATCTAGATTTGTTTCCAGATCCCATGTTGAGTTACTCAGGGCCCTTGCTGTCTTCCAACTTTGTAATTTTGAACCTTTTTATTTCTTGTTCACACTTTCAGTTAACACCATTGGTCAGGTATCTCTACAGAGGTAAAGGAGAATGTACAGCAGTTCATTTTATTGGGTGGCAGTAACACTTATAAAAGCTTTTCATTTAAAAGTTGGGACTGAACTGGTGACTAAAGTGAGATTTGAGAGTTAAGTGTTAGTTTCTGTTTTCTTTAACCCCTCATGCCCACACCAGTCTGTTTAATTCAGCGTTCACTTGGCACCAGGATGTGTGAGGCACACAGTGTTGGACCTTTTGAGGGTTAGAGTTATAAAGACCTGGGACACAATTGACCTTTGAACCTGACTCCTGGGAAGGTGGGGGTCACCGGGGTGTTTGTTTACATATATTCTAAGCTTTTGCCTTCAGAACTGTTGAGTCCATTAAATTTCTTTTGTAGCCTAGTAATTGTTTCAACACCAACCTGCAGAGAGGTAGAGGCTTTTTAATCTTTAAAAACAAAAAATATATGTATCTGAAAGTCTGTCTTTTCTTTTCAGATAATGTACAACGGCCAGCCAATTACCAAAATGGCCTGTGGGGCTGAATTCAGTATGATAATGGACTGCAAAGGAAACCTCTATTCCTTTGGGTGCCCTGAATATGGTCAGCTGGGTATGGAAGTATATTTTTTAAAAGCTCTGTAATCTAACTGTATATTTAGAACCAGAAGTCAGTGTGGGGCTGCACATGTGTTAGAAATGTGGGTAATTGATCGCAGATAATAACCTTGGTCCATTAAGTGGATCTCACTTTTGGTGGACCAGCGTGTCATAATTCACAGGGTCATGGAGTATTACAGTGACTTGCCTTAAAGAAAAAGGGCTCCGGTCTGACAAAAGATGCTTTTTTTCTGATTTGGGAGTTCATTTATAGGTAAAGGGATTCAAAGTGGAAAAAAATCAAATCACCTTCATGCCATTTCATATTTAAAGATACGTCTTTATTGAAAATGATGAAATTACACAAGATTAAGGTTGTTCTGGAAACCCTGACCTGGTGGCTATTTCCAGTACATACCTGAGGAACCACATGTTTTAAAAAAAAAAAGGCCACATATAAGAGTGACTCCCTCTTTTCATCCCTAAACAGAATGTACTCATCCAAAAACATATTTATTTATATCTCATTGAGTAGTAGAGAAGAAAAACTCAGAAAGCCTTCTCAGTAAGTGGAAAATGTCTCTCAGTCCTTATTTTCACAAGGTCTCCATTTTCTTTTCCCATCTGACACCAGTGTTTTTCCCCTTCCTTCCCACCACCCCAGTCCCTTCTGAGTAGGAGGTGGTGCGTGGGCGCCCTCTGCTGGCTCCTTGCTGCATGCCACTCCGGATCCGTGTCAGCCCCCGCATCTGGGTTGCTGGGGCTCCACGTCATTAAAAGCAGGCAGATGGAAGACTGTATAAATAGAACTAGGAGCATCTCGCTGGCCTTAGTTAGACTTTAGGGAACAGTGACTTTGTGAAACTAAATATACCTCGTGTCAGAAGTGAATAAGGAAGAACAGCTCCTTACGCACATTCAGTGCTGGTTGCCAGGGAGTTGCCAGAGACTGTTGGAGAAACCGTTTCCATAGTCACAGGCCTTCATGCTGTCCCCAGCCCCCGTGCAACACACGGAAAGTGCAAAACACGGGAAGTGCGTTTCTGGTCTACTTCCGGAACCGTGTGTGGCTCCCCTGCAGCCCGTGGCTCCAGATCTGCAAACAAGCGGCTTGTCATAGCAAGTCGATGTCCTTCCGGGAAAATCAAACGGGCTCGGAGAGAATGATGCTAACACTTACACTGCGCTGTGACTGAGTACCAGTCACCATGAAACACTTGCTGCAGAATCTCATCGGCTTAGTTTATACTCACTGAAAAAGGTATTGATTAATTGGCTTGATTTATACCTATAGAATCAGTTATTCTTCACTTGCCAGCTTATTTTCAAACCTGTTTTCAATCTCATTTTCCAAATCCAGGGAGACCCTTTTTAGAATCAGAACGTAAGTGTGACCTTGGACAAGGGTATCACCAGCACACACGGTTACCCCCACTCTCACAGTGCATTTACTGGGTCAGGCAAGGCAGAGAGAGAATGTGCCACTTAACTTTTACCAACCATAGTGATGCATTTAGGTTACTGGTAATGCATAAGAACGCAATCTGGGGTGGTGTGTTGAACTTTTCTGTCCGTTCTTAGCCCCTCTAGGGACTCCTTGAGGCCCCCAAGTGGGGCACAGACCATTTCTTCTGAGCAGTAGCTTCCAACTTTTCTTGTCTGCAGCCCACAGTAAAAAGTACATTCTACATTGCAACCCAGTCTGAACATAGAAATACAAGAAATTCTCACAAAATAATGTCCTCCTTATAAACAGTTGTCCTGTGGTGTAAAAATACTGGTTTCAACCCACAAAATAGATTTCATGACCCACTAATTGGGTTGTGCCTCAGATGAGAGAAGGCTGCCTTGGTTGACAAAGGTGTCCTGCTGAGGCCCCACCGGCCAGGTGGGGGCAGGTGCTCAGCCTGTCACCGCAGTGAATGGCACTGTGTGCTAGGCAGCTGCTGACCACCGGCTCTGCCGTCGCTGCAGGACATAACTCGGACGGGAAGTTTATTGCCCGGGCGCAGCGGATAGAGTACGACTGCGAGCTGGTGCCTCGGCGAGTGGCCATCTTCATCGAGAAGACGAAAGATGGGCAGATTTTGCCAGTCCCAAACGTGGTTGTACGAGATGTGGCCTGTGGTGCTAACCACACGGTAAGGCTTGAGTATTTGTCTTTTTCTCACTTCCTCAGAGTCCCCTTCATGGAGAGGGTGTAAATGGTCCAGTGTCCCAGCACTTGGCTTTGTCCCAGAACCAATCCCGGGTATCCTTGGCATCCTGCCCCACCCCCACCCCCTTCTTCCTCCCAGGGCTTTGCACCATTCATTTGGCCCCTCGGCAATATTCTTATGTTAATAACTTCCTTCTTGATTTCTACAGACATAGCTAAACGCACAGATGTTTTGGGTTGGGATCATACAGTAAGCCTTTTCCGGCCTTTGGCTTTTGTCTAACAACATCTTGGGCATCCTTCTAGGTGGATAGACAGTATCCCATACTAGAGACGTGGAATAGTTTCTAAACCTTAAGGTGGTTTCCTTAAAGGTCACTTTAGATAAATAGCACTAAACTTTGTATATAATTACAGTAAAACCTTGAATTGCGAGTAACTTGGTTTGCGAGTGTTCTGTAAGACGAGCAAACATTTCTAATACATTTTTACTTGGTAAATGGGCAATGTCTTGCAATACGCGTAGTTTATTTCCAGAACGAGTTACGCTCACAAACCAAGGTATTACTGTATCTCTATCATAGTTGCCTCCTCACAGTTATTTTTCTGAGAATGCCTGAGTTCATGGTTCTCTTCTCTGTTGAAAGAGCACAGTCCTGGGAGTCAGACCAAGCTGGTCTCCTGGTGGCAGCCGACGGGCTGTCCTCGGGCACGGCTCCTTTCCTGTCTGGTGCACAACAACTCGGAGTAGGAGATTTTAGTCGCTTCAGGTCGAAAAACTGATTCGCTTTTGTACAGTCTAGTCAGGGGAGGTAAAATCAGGTCTTCTTGCTGAGGTCTCTTCCATCCAGTTGTTTTAAGAGGTTGTACTTTCACATGATTCAAACTTGAAACATCAAAGATACTGTGAAGAAAAGAAGAGAGCTAATTTTAAAGTGTTGAAATGTTGGTGTGTTCACTGGACCAGGGGGGCGGTCACCTGTGTGTTCGTGGGTGGAGAGTCTCAAGAAAAACAAGGCAGACGGTTGCATCGGCCTGCTCTGTAGACATAACCTCTTCTGACGAGGGGAGGGAAAGACTGGGGACTTAAAATAATAATTAAGAACAGAAAGTAGTGTCTCTGGCAGAGAAAACAGCACGCGTCTTTGTTGTTGCACCTGCCCCTGTCACCTCTCCCTGTTGGAGGCAGGGACAGATTGTCTACAGTGTTGCAGCCCCTTTGCCATTCGCCACTGCGCCAGGTCCCCTGCTGTTGGCAGGCCTGTCCCCATCCTGTGTTTTCTCCCACAGCTCGTCCTGGACTCCCAGAAGCGCGTCTTCTCCTGGGGCTTCGGTGGCTACGGCCGGCTGGGCCACGCTGAGCAGAAAGACGAGATGGTCCCCCGCCTGGTGAAGCTGTTTGACTTTCCCGGGCGCGGGGCATCCCAGATCTACGCCGGCTACACCTGCTCCTTTGCCGTCAGTGAAGTGGGTTAGTGACGTCTCTGTCTGGGTCTCAGGAGGAAGGTGTCCAGAGCCATTTGTGGTTTTCCCTCTCTGGCAGAGCAGTGTTCTGACGGGAGCCACGCAGCCATCATCCTTTTCCAGGACCGGGAGCCTTGATGTCATTGGCATCCTCCCTGCGTTCTTGTGAACAGAACACTCCTTTGCTGTCACGGTGCCGAGTGTCTTGCTCGGTGGTCCCGGTCCTCTTGCCTTTCTCGTTGACATTGTGGAAGATGAAAATTCAGCTTGTGATATAGCGGCTCACAGAGGGACCTTGTTTGTCTTTCTCCAGGTGGTCTGTTTTTCTGGGGGGCCACCAACACGTCTCGTGAATCTACCATGTACCCGAAAGCCGTGCAGGACCTCTGTGGCTGGAGAATCCGGAGCCTGGCCTGTGGGTATGTGGTAGTGTGTCCCGAGGAGCCAGGACAGCTGTCCCCTTCCTGGGCTGTGGGAGGCACCTCTTTGCTTGAGGGTTCTGCTGTCCCTATCAGGGCATCGGCTGTACCAAATCCCGGAGTCCAGTAGGGGAGGGGCTGTGCTTGTCAAGGCGGGTGGCGGGTCTTAGAATAGATGACTCACTCCACTGCCTTCACAGAAAGTCATTTTTGGAGGGTTTTTTTCTTCAAAGGTTTGTTGTGCACAGTGCTTATATTACAGGTTCAAAATTACATTTACTTGGAAATACAGTAGGATTTTAGTTACTCTGACACACTGGGAAGAAAAGCTCTTTTAAGTCAGTGATTTTTCAGTTTATTTTGAGGCTACCTGTTGAGCTGTCTAGTTCCTCTTGTTGAGGAGTTGAATCACATTAATCAGTGGCCAGGTTGGGGGGCGGCGGGGGAGTGGCTTTAATCTGCTCAAGTCTCTAGCCCTGCCCAAGTCATTGTCAAATTCTTGAGAATAAGTTCCCACTTCATCCTGATTCAGTCCTGATTCAGTCGCTTGTTTTCCCAGTGTGTTTTTTCACCCAAAAGTGACCGCCCCCGCCCTTCCCCCAAGAGCCCTAGAACCCCGGGCGGTGGTAAGGCAGGACAGTCTGGTGCTGCTGCCTGAGCCGCCTCAGCGTGGGCCTGTGCTGTGTTATTAGGAAGTGAGAGCATCGTGGAGTTTTAATGGAACTTACTGAGTTGAAAGCTAGTAAGTCATAACACGTCCTTGAGCAGGTAGCCTACAGGAGGCACCCGTGGTGGCTGGGCTCGGGCTGCTGGACATGGTGGTGACCGCCTCTGCCTGTTTTCAGGAAGAGCAGCATCATTGTGGCTGCGGACGAGAGCACAATCAGCTGGGGCCCGTCACCGACCTTCGGGGAACTGGTAAGCCGGCGCCTGTGGCAAGAGGGGGAACCCAGTCTGTGCTCGCCGAAACTGACTCCTAAAACTACGTAGACTGTAGAAAACGTTCCCCCCCCCCTTGTTGCATTTAAGGTCTGCAATTTTCCCTACATTTTGGGTACATCGGCTTTCAAAGGTGATTCTGCTCCCATCACATACAGTTGACCCTTGAACAATGCAGGTTTGAACTGTGTGGGCCCACTTAACATGCATTTTTTACACCTGACTGCAGATCAACTGGCCCACAGTCTAGCTGACCCGTACAGTTCAAACCTGTATTCAAGGGGTAACCCCACAGTTGGGAGTCTGTGTATGCAGAGAGCTGACTAGTCATACACAGATTTTCAACTGCAGGGTCGATCGGCGCTCCAGCTCCTGCATTGTTCAAGGGTAAACCCTGATTGTGCAAGTCCTTTCTGTCCACATTGTAATACGGAAATTGGGAAGTTTCAGGTCTCATTTCCCCTCCGTTTTATAAACTGTGGTTGTGTAACAAAGGTGATAGGAAAGGGGGCGGCTGCTCTTCCCTCCAGGAGGGTTCAAATCAGCAGGAACAGCCTTGAGTTCAGCCCTGTGGCCAGTGGTGGTGGTGAGCTTCCATCGAATCGGTGTTTCCCCTGGGTCCTCAACCTCTGTAGCTCTGTCAGCAGCCCTCGCTGCTCCACAGAGCAGTGTCCCGTCAGGCCAGCCTTTGGGTCACTTGGGGACAGTCTTCCCTTATTTTCCTCAATAAATTTAAGTCCATGTTCCCAGCTTTTTATCTCCGTTATTGAGGGACTAGAACTGATGGCTCTTGATTTCTCACACATACGCCTCTGATTCTCAGGCTGTGGTGCTGGGTGAGTCCTTAACGTTTTGTTTCCTCGTGTGAAGAGCAGCTGGGCTGTGGCGCCCGTCCTGACGGGCTGCCTGTTCTGATTGCAATTGGATCCTCAGCTTGGCTCTCGTATTTCCCACTGGGAATGCGGCCTCCCTTCCCTCTCTCCTCCTGCCGTGGGGCGCTAGAGGGGAGGGGGGAAAGGGCCCGACCCCTTGAGCCGTCTCCAGGACTAAACATGCCTTTTCCTGGGTGCTCGGCACCTGCCTTTAGTCTGGCAGCTTCCAAGGGGGCCCCACGTGCAGTAACGTGAGGGTGGCCCCTTCAGAGACAGGCCCCATGTGGAACCTTGAAAGATCTGAGAACCTGGCCCAGTTTGAACCTGGCCCAGTTTCAGTGAACTGTTCTTAGAGAAGGGTGGATGTTTTTAGGGCCTATAAGAAATAGACTGAATATCAACGTTAAAACTTAGAGAGGAATGAGAGTTGGGGACAGCGTCTCGGGGGTAGGAAGATGGCCTGGCCCTTGGAGGAATCACTCACTATAGGGGAAGGCAGGAGGCGTGGGGCCTGGTGGCGGATGGAGCTGGGGAGAGAGTTGCTGTTTGAGCCGAGCGGTCTGCCGGCCTTGAAATCGCCCGTCCCCACGCCTTTGCACGTGACTGCCCCCTAAGCAGTCCTTGACCAGTGCCTTTTATCTCTGGTAGGGTGACTCTAGTGTCATTACTAATAATGATGGTGGTTATTCGGTCTCCAGACCGCAAGGTGGGCAGATAGATAACCGGTGTCCTTTGTGACCTTGTAGCCCTGAAGGGCTGCAGTTGCCATTTCTTCTGGGCTCGTGATGGTGTCATCTCACCAGTGCCACTCTCCAAAAGGTACCTGTTATCACATAAATCCCCACAGGTTATAATTTAGCGTCTTGGTATTTCTCAAGTTACAAATCGGTCACTTTTGGGCGGCAGTTTCGGTGGGTAAAGATTGCTGATTTGTCCTGGCCCTCGTGTCTGAGCAGTGGGGCTCGGTCATAGAGGGGCCGGCAGCCATGGCCGCGGCCCTGAGTGGGTGGCCTGTTTCCTGTGTGGACCGAGCCGCGGTGAGCCCAGTTCTAGGAGCTTCCCCTTTGCTTGCTTCTCCAGGGCTATGGGGACCACAAGCCCAAGTCTTCCACTGCAGCCCAAGAGGTGAAGACGCTGGATGGCATATTCACAGAGCAGGTGAGCGAAGACCGGTGCCAGCGAGCAGCAGAAGGCGCTGGAAGCAGAAAGTGTGCCGATGCACACCTCACTTGGCTTGATTCTGGTCTTAGCTTGCCGCCTGTGCTGGAGTTTTCTGATGGGTAACGGCCATGCTGGCCAGGCTTTGTGGCTGTTCTCACCCTGAGTGGCACTAGCCTCAGCCCAGCCATAATGAGGACTTGCTCCAGAGCGAGTGCATGTCACATCCGCCTTGTACCTGCCCTCAACTCTGCACACCCTGTGGTGGGGAGGCCCTGCTCCGCTGTCACGTCCACTAGGCCGCTAGCAGATGGGGCATGCGCCCTCACAAGATGGGATCGTGGTCCAGTGAGGCGGAGGGAACAGTGAGCGTGACCCATGAGGCCCCGCCAGTCCCAGCTGACAGTTGGTGTGGAAGCCCTGCTCAGTGGGCCTTCGTCCATCTCCAGCCTGGAAGGCTTTGGTTGGGCAGGGTGTTGGTGACAGGTCACATTGAGACTAGTGGCCTCTAGTAAAGGGTTTTTATGCGCTTTTCAGGAATCCTCCATTTTTCTTCTTATTGACCCAGTTTGCCAGCTCAGCTGACTCGTGTCCTGTTTGTTGTGTGCCTTGGGCTTGTCTGCCCCACACTCAGTGACACAGGCGCCTGTGCGCCCGTGCACACCAACGCTGACTTGTTCCCCCAGGTTGCCATGGGCTACTCGCACTCCCTGGTGATAGCGAGAGATGAAAGTGAGACCGAGAAAGAGAAGATCAAGAAACTGCCAGAGTATAACCCCCGCACCCTCTGATGGCCCCGGAGTCGCCAACTCCACCCCTCGCGGCAGCTGTCATTTCCATGTGCACTGGGACGGGAAGTCAAAACGAGGAATTTAAGCAAAGTTGACCGAAGGTGCATTTTTGTTAGACTCCCTGAGGTTCCGTTTTATAAGTGATTCAACGTCAACTACCTTTTCTGTATGCTTTCCAAAGTGTTTTTTCTCTCTCAATGTTTAATTAAAATATTTGCTCATAGTTGACTTAACCATTCCTATAAAAAGGCAGAAACTTTGAGCAAGCTAGGTTTTTTTTTAAGTTTTTTTCTTTTACCCCCCCCCCCCCCAAATATACTTCTCAAAACTCCCCTTTCCAGTTGTAATTAGCATTGTGATCCGAGTGAGTGCTGCCTGGGAGAGGAGTCACGATTTACTCAGAAAAACAATGTCCCTCATGGGAAGCAGCAGCATCTAGGAAAAGAGGGTCCCTGGTAGTTGATCTCCATCCAAAACCATGCCCGCGTGCTTCTGGGAGCATCTGGGTCATGCCTTGCCGCTTTTTCTTGTAGACCAGCTGAGGCCGGCTTTGTTCTGTTCCCCCCTTGGCTGCTTGTAAGCCCCACTGCCTTTTGGCTGCGACATTAATAGAATCTGCCGTTTCCCCCCTGGTGGGGGCTCTGGGGTCTGTGTTTAGCCATTTATATCTATGCTAGCTGTAAAAGAAGTCCAAGTGAAAAAATCAGGTGATCGTGGAACCAGTGGGGTCTTGGGGGAGTGGGCAGTCGTGGGGAACAACGTTATCTGGTTCAAGAACCGGCTTGAAGGCTCCTGAGGAGCTGGGGCCAGCTCGCCAGCCTCCACTCGCCATTAGAGATTGATCAGCCAGCAGTAAAAAGTGCATTCTGGCGTCCTTGCAAAGAAGGACCAGCCCTTACATACCAGCCTTTATCGCCTTTGTGCTTCTGTCCTTATCTCCCCCGTCCGCCCGACTGGCTGGATCCTGAGGGAACAGCCCGGTCTGAGACTCGGGTTCCAGTTCTGCTAACCCAGCTCTCTGGTCACATTTGCTTGGCTGTGGTACCAAATAGTTGGGATTATGAAGAAGTCCCCCTTCCCCGTGTGTCAGCGCAGATGCTACGACTGCCACCTGAGTGTCCGCCAAGTGCCCCCTGCCCGAGCTCGGCCCCAGCGTTGCGCTGCTCTGCATGAGTTACGAGGTGCCTTTCCCGGGACCCTCCTCTCGCTTGGACCCAAGAGGGGCGACAGCTCTGGCTGGGGCTCTTGGTTTCGAGAGGGTCTGGACTGGTTTGGGTGCTTTAAAATAGATTTTTTTAGTTCAGTGGTGCTTATGGGGGAGATGGGGATAGAACTTCAGTGTGAGACTTGGGTGGATGGGAAAGTTAAATATTGGTCTTTTTATTATTTTTTTGCTTTGCTGTTGTTACCACTTGTCATTGTCTTGATGTTAAAATGCCAAAAAATGATCCAGTTGTTGCTTTTTTCCCCTACTCGTCCCCGTTCCTCCTTACAGCGGCTTCTGCCTTTGCAGGGCATGTAACAGTCTGTCCTGGCCAGTCCCAAGGCCTGTGTGAGGAGCCCGGCCTGCATCCTTGTAAGGTTTAGTCTGACTTCATGCTCATCTTTGCCGTCCTGTGTTCTGTCAGTAGAGTCCAGGGCAGAAGCCTCTGCCACTTCAGAGCTTCTGCTATACTAACCTAATTTGTCCAAATCACCCCCAAACCACCATTTCTCACTCAAGCTTCCATATGTGGAGCCCATTTGTCCCCCTGGACAAGGCTCGTTCCTGGAATGGGGTTAGGCACACGTGCTCCCTGTACCCCCGAACAGCAGTCAGACCGGGTGGAGGGAGCAGTAGCCTGGGTCCCGGCCTTTGCAGGAGCTGCTCTCAGCCAAGCAGGGCTCTGCTGTCCCAGTGGGCTAACCAGAACCCTGCCGCCAGCCTGTTCGAGCCCCCCTTGCCAGGGACGAGCAGGAAAGGGATGTACCTTCCAAGGGAAGACTGCTCTCTTCTCCCACAATCACTCCTTTTGGCTTCGAGTTGTAAAATGAACTTTCTCATGGGGAAAAGCCTTTAGAACAGGAGTTGGGGGTGGGGGTCCTGCACTCCAAGAGAAAGGGACAGAGGGACCCGAGCTGAGCGTGTGCTTTGCGTTGACTCTTGGGGCGTCTGCCATGTCTTCCAGCTCAGGAAGGAGAATTTGGAAGAAGAGGCTTAGAGTGAAGGGGAACCCAAGAAGAGGTTGTGATTTGGTCGAAGGTGCCTGGTTTAGTGCTGTAATTGTCTTATTTTTTTTATATATATATTTCTTGGAGTAAACATTTTAAATAAACGACATCATTGTTTACTCTGTTTTGGCTTTTGCGCTTCTTTTGCAGAAGGGACGTAAGAATACAGAGCAGCTCCGTGTTTCTCAACTCCCTGCACATATCGCTGCCCTGGCCTGGGCTCCCACGGAGGGGCCGTGGAGGGGATGAGCCCTGGGGAGTGGGTCCTTTTAGCTTCTAGGCTTAAACCACACTGGGGTTGCGAGGTGAGTGGAGCTCCCAACTCTGTCCTTGAAATGTGTGACCCTTAGGGGAAGGGTCAGTGCTTCACTTGCCCAGCTCAGAAGTGGAGATTTTTTTATGCATCGCACTGGGGCTTTGAGGGTGAGCTCGGGCATGGAAAGCACCAGAACAGTGATACGCTTTGTGTGCCCAACATCATCTATTGTTACTCCCCACCCTCCACCACCAACTCTTCCTGAAACGGGGCCCTCTTGTCACTAGAACATGGTCACAAAAGTGCCCCTTTGGCCAGCACTGGCCTGTTATGGACAGTGTGGCGAGCTGCCCACCAGGGGGCACCAAGAGCCCAGTTGTGTGTTCAAGGCCCCAGGTATCGTCTGCTTAGGGTTGCTAGGCTGCTCCTCAGGCCAACTTGGCTGAGCTATACTGCACAGGTCACCAGCCACCTACAGTCACCAACATCTCAACACCGGTCACCATTTGTGGAGTCTCAGATACTGGCTGCTTTATGTCATCAGACCCGCCCCTCCCAGTAGGCACTGGCTCCATTCCAAGCGCCCTGACTGCTTGGAGCTTCCCATCGGTGGGAAGGAGGGGCGGGTGGAAGCGGCTTCTCAAAATCACTTGCTTTTATACCATCCTTGTACCTTAACACGGGGGTGGGCAGACAGATGGAAGTGGGTCGTTTTTGGTCCCAGGCCTTTACTCATGGACACCAGGCTTGATGCGAGTCCACCCGGCCCTGCTCCTGCTGTGCCTTGTCCCTCAGAGGCTACACCTGCAGACCCCAAGAGTTCATCCACTACAGACAAGACGTTAAAGATGCGGGAGAGACAGCAACTCAACATTAGCCTGGTCCCCCTCCCCCCACAAGTGAGACAGCCTGACCGCAGGTGTCCCAGCAGCTCGGCCCTCCATTCCTAGCTGTTTCCCCTTCCCCTAAACAAGGTGGCCACTGCCAAAATGCATTCAGAACCACTCGAGCTTTAATGGGTAGTGAGTCACCACTTTTCAGCTGAAGACAATTTCTGCCTTTTTCCAAGAGTTTCAAGCTGGTGGTATTTGCCATCCCACTGGATACTGAGGGATGGAGGAATAGTAAGCAAGGGATGCAGTGTCGATTCTCCAGCCCCCCAAACGGGGCAAGGCATCGGAACACTGTTGCGTGGTGACAGTGAGCCATTCGTGCTGGGGCAGGGCTGGCAGTGCTAAGCCTGGGTTTAAGGCACCATCCTCCACCATTTGAAGGCAAAGGGCACCCTGCGGATGTTGGCACAGGCACAGAAGTCTCCAATTTCAGTCAGGTAGCAGTCAAAGTCATTAATGAAGGTGCATTTGAAGCCCAGGGGCTCCAGCAGCTGGCAGACCTTCTCTTCCAGACAGCAGGTACCCTTGATCTGGGGCCCAAAAGGCTTGGGGATGCCCAGGTTCTTGCCCATCACAATCACCTGCAGCTGTCAGAGAGAAGGGAGGGGACCGGCTAAAACCGAGGAGAAAGCCCCTGTCCTAGGTAAGGGAAAACCCAGTTGCCCCTGGTGCTATGAGGTTAGAAGAGCAAGCACACAAAGCAGCCCCCTTCTCCAGGCTGTGCTCTTGCAGACGGCACTAGTCAACCATAGCAAACCCGAACTCCAGTGACCTCCATGTGATTCACACTAGCGAAACCCAACCTTGCCTGGCTAAGGGCTGGCTTTGCCAACTTCCCTGGTTCCGTCCTCGACTGCACTTCTCTTTAGCCTTTAGTCTCACCTGTGCCCTGGTCTTGCATCTCTCTCCACGGGCATGCTCTCCCATCCCAGCTTAGTCAGTTGACTTCTGTCCATTTTTCTAAACTCAAGCATCTCTTCCTCAAAGGAGTTTCTCCCACCACTGACTCCCAGGGCCTACAACAGGCTCCCGTTTCATGCCCAGAGGGCCACACTGGTCTTGTGAGATTAAAAGATAGCCGTGTGTGGCTGACCAACGCAGGGTCTGGGTCCCTCGGCCTCAGAAGAGGTCTGCAAGTATCCAAGGAACTGAGCTCAAATCGGAATTCATTCTAAGAGCCTGCGTGGCAGGTCACAGTTATGAGAGAGGTCAGAGGTAGGCCAGAGTTGAAACTGACTTGGCATAGCAGGGGTCTCTTACACACACACACTCCGTTTCTACCTCTTCTACATGGGAATAGTATTACCATGAGTGTGAGCACATCTGTGTTTCTGGTGCTGCTGCCCTGGACCTGGGATATGTGGACAGGAAGAGCCTGTCTTGGGGTCTTGAACACAGTCTCAGCCAGCAGATGGCTGCCCCCCACCCCCCAAGGCTGGTGGCAGCAGAGCCTCCCGGTCAGTGAGGTGGGCCATGTAGCGACTACCCCTAAGGTTGGGGATTAGCCCAAGGCCCACCCCGTGGTCACTGCTTGGAAGTCATCCAGCCTGAGCCCAGCTCACTGCTCCCTGGAGAGGGTCCTCCCTTCCTCTGAGGCACCATTGCCTGCTGTGCCCCCACTTCTAGTCCAGCACCACGTATGTCAAGAGACCAGCCAGAGTTGGCGTAACAGCTTCCTACCCGCACCCAGAGGACCCCCAGTTCACCCCGGCGCCCCTCACCAGGTTGGGGAAGTACGGCCTCGCGTAGAGTTTCTCAGACTGCTGGCTGGAAGGGACGTTCGTCAGCTGCTCCAAGCAGAAGAGCTGTGGGACGTCGATGATGTCCCTCTCCACCAGGCCCAGCTCCGTCTTCAGGATGTCACGGTTCAGGTTAATGCACTTCTGCGGGGTGGGCAGCAACGGGCTGAGCTCGCTGGGAATTAGCAATGGCCTGAAGCAGCCCCCACCTTCCCACCGCTCACTGCGTGCTGGAGCCATCTGGGCATGCCAGCCCTCTGATCAAGTGGACACAGTTCCCTTTTTCTGAGAGGAAGTGGGGGCTTAGAGCAAAAGCCTGGTCTTGAGAGGCCCAGATCTCACAGCCAGTGAGCCCTGGGGCAGCTAATCATTCTGACTCCACTGTAGCATGTGGCTTCTTTGGCCCCCAGTCCTAGCCAGAGTCAGGGACCTGGGTGAGGGCAGGGGCTGGGGAAAGGCAAGCAGCAGCCCTCAGACCGAGGCACTCTGCTGCCTTCCTTGGGAAGGGATAAGAGCAGTGGTCCCCACGCAGGGCGCCTCCTTCTCAT